CATCTCAGATTGCATTCCTTAGATCCAGTGAGTTCTGGGAAGTATAAATTCAGTTTTAATTACAGTTGAAGTATTAATCTGTATAAAGCAAGATACTTTGAAGCAAGATACTTTGCATCTCCTATACAATGGGAAAATGGGTACTGTGTTTTTAGAATGCTGTTTGTTATGGGTCACTTTCATAGTATTTTGAATTTTAAACATTGAAAAAGGGAAAGACAACGTTGAATACAGTAAAAATAAAGTTTTAAATCAATTCAGTTGTTATGTAACCGAATAACCACCAATGCTCTGGAGTACAAAGATGCAGCTTTGCAGATGCTGACAAACCGCACCTCCCATGAATTCCAAATTACGAGGCACGCTGAGAGCTTTTTAGTTCAACATCTGCAGAGTCACAGGCTGTTGTCCACTCTTGAGTTACAGGTTTCTTTCTCGCCATTTTCTCACCCAGACACCCGTATTACAGCAAGCACAGGGATCCGGAGACCAGACCACAAGGCTGGCGGTTCTACTCTACTCCCCTCTCCCCCATTCTCCAAAGTACACCCAGCTGCTCTCTTTGCTTTTTAAACTCGGGACTCAAAGCCGAAGAGAAGAAAAAGCCGAAGCGGCGGCTCAAAGGAGCCTCGCAACTGCTCCGACGACATTCCCAAACAATCCCCACCGTAGCCTCTATACCGCCCATGTCCCATAGCAGCTCCAGAGTCTCTTCTTACTTTCTTGGCCAGAGGCCGCCAGAGTGCCCAGGGCCACGGTATTCAGAGTCCAGAGGAGCAGCGGGAAGCCCAGCAGATACAAGCGGCGCAAGAAACCCATGGCGACTGAAACAAGTAAAGAGGCAGCCTTCGTTCGCCCTCTCCGAGCCTCTTCGGCTCCGCTCGCCCTGATTTTTCAAGACCGGAAAACAGCCCCGGGAGAGAGGCGTCCGGGCCCGCCCATCGCCGTGCACGCGCACTATTTTGTTAACGGGAGCACGCCGTGGGCGGGACTAAGCCGCTCCCGAAGAGGCCGCCCTACACGCGCTCCCGAAGCAAAGTGGGCGGCTCCGTATTTATGGTAACGCTTGGCCCAGCTGAATGCTTCTGTTTCTTTGGTGTCCGCGGCTACCCCACAAAACTATTAAAGCACTCATTTTATGTTTAGCGTAATTTATAAATTCAGCCATTATGGTTTGTGAGCCATAGTTTATAGCAAAGTTTATATTCCCCCGGTTACTATGGCTTGCTCAACAAACCCGAGTAAATGTATAACATGGCTGCAGTGTGTTAAAGACACACAAATCTTCATCCTATGTCCAACATGTAGGAACTCTGGCTCTCCAGCTCAACTCATTGAGTACTGTATTCGCAAACCAGATTGCCTTTTTGGAAAACATGAAAAGGTGGAATGGTGTAATTCAGGTTGAAGCCCAATCTCATTTGGAAAGTACATTGTGGTTGGAATTTGATTCCAGTCTAGTATAATCGCCAAGGATTGTATAAGAAAAATATTAAAGAGTTCTACAGGATGCCATGTTGCCTTAATCTCTTGGAGGTAAGGTGGAATATAATAAGGAACAAAATGGGTCAAAAATTATGCTTTGTCCATTTTTGTTCCTTATTTGTTTGTTTGTTTTGTTTATTTAAGTCTTCACCTTTGCAATGAATAAGAAACTGTCATAAATGAATTTGGAGAAAAAGAGAACAGAATAAGATAGGGAAAAAGCTGGAAGTCCATCCTGTCGCCATACCTGTTTGTATTTACCAAACAAATTTATAAGTGGCAGGATTTGGAGAAATGGTAGCTGAAACCAAAATCTGAGATTTTTGGCTAAACAATTAAAATATAAAAACACTCCTTTTAATAAAAGTTATAAAAAAATCTAAAAGTTCATTATGAAAATAAAAAGTGAAAATTTGCTTGAATATTAAATATTAATGTTCATGTTCATACTTAGTAAGTTGGAGAACTTTGATTCTGTTGTATGAATGGCTGATAACCTCCTTTTCTGCTGAGAACAACTACAACAACAACAACAAAAAGTACAGTGACAAAAAAAGCCCATACAATTTTATAAACAGAAGTACCAATGACTTAAGTCAGAATATTGGAAGAATGGATATTATTGAACTGTTTATTACTGTCTTTATTAAAGCTGCCTCTCTTTATCTGCCTCTGAGCCAAGTATTTTTGGTTCGCTTTCTGTTCTATAAGTCTGTAGACATTCTGAGTCATCCAGGTCATGGTTGTCCCAAAGGTGCTTTTTCCAAAAGGCAACTGGACTTTCTCGTTTTCCCTTTGAAGGTGTTTTGCTTCTCATCCAAAAAGCTTCTTCAGCTCTGACAGGATAGTGGGGAATGGAAGGGTTTATACTCCTTGCAGACAGCTGGTCATTTGCATCCTTTTAGAGGGTCCTTGAAGCATTTGGAGGTTTATCTGTGTCCTCAGGGTCACCAGAATAATGCTCCTGGTTCCTGTAGTCTGCAATCCCCCCACCCCTGAAAGCCTATCCCAACCCCACACCAAAGGGTGTTCATCACAAATTGTATGGCTAAAAGTCTGCTCTATACTAAAAGTCTGTTTCTGTTCTATACTGGCTTATAGTTGTTATAACCAATGTGAGGGCAGACATGTTCATGTTCTTTTCTTGTGAGCCTCGGGGCACTTTATGATGAGCAGCCAATACAGAATCCAGAATATGGAACTTACTTGAACATAGCAATGAGGAGATTGAGGAGGAGAATGTTGGTGAAGAGTAGGTAGAGGCAAAGCAAAATTACTGTCAGCCACTCTGGAAAAATGGGCTTCTTGTTGGCTTCACTGCTCTCTGGACATTTGGGCTTGTATGGATCAGTCCCATTTGGGCTGCATTGATCAAAGTTGAAATTCACTCCT